CCCCCCCCCTTCTTGCTTTTCACTATTGGAACATGTTCTGATGCAAAAACTAGATTTCTGCAATGTAAAGTAAATATTATGACCTATAGATTCTAACGAACTTTGTTTTCTTTTGCAAGTTTTAAATCTAATTAGTAGTAATGCCATTATTTTGTGGTGAGTCAGTTAAGGGGAGAGCGACCCTTGATTTTGCAGATTTTGGGTCAGGCTATGCAAATTTTATGTAGGCTAAATTTTTTAAGATCAACCAATTTTTTTGTCTAAAAATAGCATGGTTACAATTGAGAAAGTCTTTATTCTCCTGGTAAATTGCCTTTGAAAACATGAGATTGGATTAATATAGTGCATTTTCGCAATTATTGTCGGTTTTCGCAAAATGTAAGCTTTGTGCCGTTTTTTCCCTACTCCTTCCTTAGTTTTCATCCTTTTGATGTGATACTTTCAGAAAACATAGAGTGCAAGACTGCCATCAATGTAACAGAGAGATATTTGGGAAAAAAATAATACTTATCCATTGGCAAGCGATTACGCAACCTAAATTTAGAAGAAAAAAAAATTGTACTTTGGGAAAATTGTCATTTTTTTTCTTTCTTTTGCACTTATTGAAAAAAACTGGCTGTTACTCTGATAGGGTCTGGTTCAGGTCTACTACTCTCACCACATGTGGTCAAATTTGGTGTGAAAAATCTGCTCATAGATTGTGTTCTAAGTGATTGTCTCCAAACTTTAAAAGACTTAGTATTTTCATTTTGTTCATAGTGAGTGTGGATTTTTAAAGGTGCCAATTTTCCAGAAAAATCAGGAAATCCGTATTTCCGGAATTATCCAAATATTGCCCTATATTGTCAACAAAGATAGTTTTGATACAAGATGTATTGGACTATATGATCTGTAAACATTTTTTCCCCCTGATCGTGTGTTTCGGCATCGTCCGAAAAGTTCAGGGTATTTTTTATCGTAGCCAGTTGGAACCTCTGGATCGTTCATGTTCTTTGACCAGGGATATTTCCCAAAGTTTTCAACTTTTGTGTCTTCCTTGATTAATCCCTTTACTCCAGTACCTTTTAAACCCTGCCTTCAATTTCCTGAACTTCAGTCTCATTATGAGCAGTGTGTGATTGGAAATCAGGAGTTTGACTTTGCTTAGAAATGGAACACCCCCCCCTCCCCCCCTTCCCCAAGCTTCTAACTGTGAACCCATTTGTTAATCTCCAGTTAACCACAAGTCTGTGTCTGTGGCACCCCACTCTTTCACTCTTTCACTCTTTCTCGTATTTACATGATGAAAATTGATCTGAAGTGATTGCTTTTTCTTTCCTCATCCTTACTGTTGTCATATTTCCTCTACTTCTGTTGTATGTTTGTCACTCTCTTGTGAACCGCTATTTCCGGGGTGCCTTGATAGTGGAAGCAGACTTTGTACTGTTGAGGCTAGAGAGGTGAGCAGAGTAAGCCTGATTCCTCATTTGGACTTCTCTGTTGACATCCTCCTCTTTGTGCTCATTTGACCGTATGCAGTTGCGAGCGCCGTAAAAACCTTACTAAAACAAAACATAAGCAAACAAGTTATTGCAAATGTTTTCCCAAAAGCGAGTACTGCTGGTCTGAATGATAGACATTGTGATTTATGTTTTACGCCACCTTAGACAAAACTTAGGTCTTGTAGCAAGCGGGCTGCTTGGCCCCTGTCCGACAGGGTCAGCCTGAGCTCCATGGGAGAAGTGGGAAATTGTCAAACATCAACATGGCGGTGGGTGGTTGGAGGGCGACCTTATTTCTTTTCTTTCCCCTTGCTGTTCCTTTCTCTCTGTCTGTCTGTCTGTCTGTCTGTCTGTCTGTCTGTCTGTCTGTCTGTCTGTCTGTCTGTCTGACTTTTTCCCAGCTCTATATGACCGTTATTGTGACGATGTGCCAACTCTAAAGTAACCAGGGTGAGAGCAGTCTTGTCCTGCCGTATGTTTTTCTTTCTAGACGTATTTTCCTTTCATAATCTATTGAGTGTAGAATAGTGAAGGTCTTTCATTAGTAGCCAGTTCGTAGTTTTTTATAATACCATGTTTGTAAGATTGTTGTTTTTTTTGTGGGGGTGAGGTTCTCTTATGAGTTGTAATTTTTAGCATCATATAATCGGACCGTCAATCTTTTTCACAGAAACATTCCACATATCCGCACAGAATAGGCTCACTAACTTTATTTGACCAAGTTTTCTTTCCCAGACCTTGTCAACACGACATAGGGTAGTGAGCTCTGAAACTTTTAGAAAGTTGACCTAAGATTTGCTGTGTTTAGGTTCGGTACTGATGACTTTTGTAATGTCATTCTTATCTCCTTTTTTAATCTCTTCTAAGAATTCTTATTCCTTCTTCAAATACTAGAGTAGTATTGTGGTTACTCTGAAATTTAATTGAGCTCCATGTATTTATGTGTGTGGTTGGCGAGTGCTCTGGTGTGGTTTGTTCTTTCTTTCCTTTCAAACATCTATCGTATTTATCTCCCCTTCTTCTTTTTTATGTTTGTTACTCTCTTGTAACACCTCTAATCTTCTGGCGCTCATATGACCTTATGCAGTTGCGAGCGCCGAAAAACCTCTACTAAAACTAAACTAAACTTGTTTTTATTTTGTGTTGTATTTTCATTGAGTGTGCCGGGAGTAGAATTTTGTGAGTGTCCATGCGACGAGAGATCAGTTTAAGACGTGAATTATAATTTGATTAATTATAAAAAGTACCAATTATGTTTAAAGAGATGTCTCCGTGATTCACCTGACAAACTTTTGCTCGAAGAACCTTCACTGGCATTTTTCCCCCCTCCAAATTGTAAAACTATGAATTGTAAAACTATGAATTGAAATTGTTTTAAAGTCAATGTAAACTTTTTTTTTGTTCTCCAGAGAACTTTAAAACTCTCATGATGCATGAATTAGCCAACTGATTTTCTTTTTTTAAAGATACATTTGATGTCCTCCATGCCAAGAGATTTTATGAGTAGATAAGTGTTTATACCCGACACCAATGTGTTCTTTTTGCGGGTGTTTTGAGGGTGCCACTGGTAGGCTCTACTTCTTGACTGTTGTGTCAACAATGTGCTTACATGTACCAAATCAGGGTGTTCTTGTACCCCTCCCCCCCCCCCACCCCCACCTCCAGTTTTATCAGTATGATTTTGTGTACTTAATCAGTGTGTGTGTGGGTGGTTGGCGGGTGTTTTACTTCTTCTATCCTATCAAACATTTATCATCCTTATCTCTGCTCCTCCTTTTCTTCATTTATGTCACTCTCTAGTAACACCCTTATACTTAGGCTCTGAAAAAACTGAGATATTTGTTTTGCAAGTGCTGTAAAACAATGACTTAAAAAAACGACAATTTGACCCAATGTGTTCTCCTCCTCTCCCCCTCCCCCAGTATGGTGGCGCCCCCAGAAATGCCGGCAGAGAGCCAGGACCCCGTGTCTCCCTTCCAGATGTGTCGTCTGTTGCTGGACCAGATGGGGCTGTTGTCCTGGGAGAAGAGGTGAGAGAGAGGGGGGTAAAAAAACAACGGGTTATCTTTGGATAGCTCGGGATGGGGAGGAAACCTAATTTTGTAAACATTTGTAAACATTGGGGTTTTGTTAGCGGTAAAAAAGTCCCGGGGAGGGGTGGGGGTGGGAGTGTATTTAATTATAATAATTTTTTCAGTTGTTATTGAAAGACACAATTTGGCTTCTTACACCAGTTGATTATTGCACAACAGATGCATGTGTGTATGATTGTGAAGTCCTGTGTATGACTGTGAAGTCTTGTGTATGATTGTGAAGTCCTGTTTATGACTGTGAAGTCTTGTGTATGATTGTGAAGTCCTGTGTATGACTGTGAAGTCCTGTGTATGATTGTGAAATCCTGTGCATGATTGTGAAATGTTTCTGTTGTCCGTCCCCAGGTGCCACTTTGATTTGCTGAAGAAAAGCGACAAAGTGCTGAGAGAGCTCAAGAACTTGGATGTTCAAAAATGGTGAGTCTGGCAGGAAATCTTAACGTTCAGGAAGATTTTGTGTCTGCATCGATGAGCTCTGATTCCTTACCCACAAGTCTGTGACGGGCTTTGAACCCACAGCCTTACGGTTAAGAGTCCGAGCGTCAGAGAGATAGAAAGAGAGTGCGGGGGGAGAGGAGGGTAGAGAAAGAAAGAGAAGGAGTAGAGAGAAATAAGGAAAGGTGCGAGAAAGAGAGAGCGAGATTTAAAAAAAAAAAAAGGTTATACACATCTCCATCAGCACAATTTAGATAATTTACTGGAGTGGACATGCAGCTTGTAAGATGAGGTCTCTGACTGGAGGGTGAAAGCTTAGATGTTGCAGCATCATCAACAGCAACAGCAACAACAGTTAGATAGCAGTAGATATATACTAGTCAGTTTTATTTGTTAGACGATTATTCTGAAAAGTACTATTTGTTACGATTTGGCTTCGGCTTTTGTAAAAAAATTTAAGAATTCAACAAAAATTGCCCACCGGGCGGAAAGATGTCGGTTTCTCTGATTTCATTATTTTGATGAGTGCCTGATTTTACCACGATGCTACACAGTTGTTCGTTTGCCTCCACTGATGAATGTCTGTTGTTTTGTTTCAGTCGAGAGACCCACAAAATTGCTGTGATCTACATCGCTGCCGGGCAGGAAGACAAAAACTCCATTCTGTCCAACAACTCGGGGAGCCGCGCCTTCGAGGATTTTGTGGCGGGGCTGGGCTGGGAGGTACGTGGTGGACTCGCGTGGCTCTTGTGTTTGGTGGTGGTGGTGGACTGGCGTGGCTCTTGTGTTTGGTGGTGGTGGTGGTGGTGGACTGACGTGGCTCTTGTGTTTGGTGGTGGTGGTGGTGGTGGACTCGTGTGGCTCTTGTGTTTGGTGGTGGTGGAGGACTGACGCGGCTCTTGTGTTTGGTGGTGGTGGTGGTGGACTGACGTGGCTCTTGTGTTTGGTGGTGGTGGTGGTGGTGGACTCGTGTGGCTCTTGTGTTTGGTGGTGGTGGAGGACTGACGCGGCTCTTGTGTTTGGTGGTGGTGGTGGTGGACTGACGTGGCTCTTGTGTTTGGTGGTGGTGGTGGTGGTGGT